TGTCAGCTGCCAACACAGCGTCGGTCTCCTGTCTCCACTGTTGTGGCGGAGTTTCTACGCCCGCCTCCCACCATCTCCGAAGTTGGTCTCCTCAGTCTCAGTAGTTGCACTCACGCCAAACATGCGCATTGCCTTCGTCCGATGACAATGACAATGTCGTTGTAGACTGGTTGAGCACGCTTCGCAAAGCAACGTTGTAAAAAAGAACTTTTGGAGAAAAAAAGTGGTCTCTTTAGTTAAGAGTCAAAAGTTAAAAACTAACTTTTAAAAACAAATCTTCATTAAAACAGATAAGTTATTTAACCATACAGCATAAGCAAGCAGTAGGCCGTTGGTAAGGCGCACCTCGATGCTTTTGGTGGTATTGTTTGAAATTAACAAGCCATGTCATAACAACTAAAAAGCCATAAGTCGCCATCCCAAAGCAAGATTACATAACAAAAATCACAACTTTTGAGAAAAGTGGTGTCTCTAGAGTCAAAAGCCAAAACCAACTTTTAAAAAAACCTCGACTACAACAAAGTCATTTAACCATAAAGCATAACTAAACGGTAGACGTGTCACGTGAGGATGATATTAGAGGGAGACTAAGATTCCTTTACTGGTATTGTCTGGAATTGACGAGCCGACAGAGGAGGGAGTACAACAAAAAAACCTAACGGTGGACACTTTGGATGGTAAGAGCGTCTTCAAGAGATTAGCCAAATTGTTTTTCAAAGATAACTTTGGCTATTATTAAAAGAAGAACGTCTCCAACAGACTATGTAAATGACTCTCTAAATTTAGTAGCTCTCCATCCCACCTCATTCGCTCTCTACTTTTAGATAGCCTACCTCACTAGCCATCTAGCCTCTTAGTTTTATAGAATCTGTTGGATACTTTTGTCGAATATATTTTAGAGAGTAGCTAAATCAGTAAATTTGGCTAGTCTTTTGGCTAATCTCTTCGAGACGCTCACTAAGAGATTATTGTTGATATTTCCAAAACTAGCTAGATTAAAACTAGAGTAGATCGCATAGAAATGGAAAAAGAAATCTAAATTGTCGGACATTTTGGATGCTATCGGATGCACCGGAGCTTTTTTTTAAATAATATTTTTTTAATAAATAATAGCAGATCTGGGTGTTATTTTCATAAAATTGCAAAACTGGTATCCTGTCGGCTTTCTAGTAGCCAATAGGGAACCTATCGGCCAGTCAATTGCCGGCAGCCTACATGGCAGGTAAAAATCACAGTGCAGGGTCCTATTGGCAATCAGGTAGCCGACTGGAGAGCTATCGGCAATCTGCGAGCCGATATCTGCACTCATCAGTTGGCCAGCCGATGGGTCTATCGGGCATTGGGAGACAGACCGCACCCACATCCTGCAAGCTACGTCCCTTTTAGAATTTGTTTTATTGATCATGTTTCTTTACTGTTTAGATTTTAATATTTCTTTCAACCTACCCAGAACAAAACATCTAAAGACCTCAAAAGATATTGTAAATTTCTAAGTAGATGCTAAAAGTCAAGCACAACCTATTTTATTTGCGTCTCCCATCATTTTTTAAGGTAATAAGGAATCATATTAAAACTCAACATAGTACATCCCAAAATTAAACTAAGAAAAAATCAAAAATAAACAAGGTACAATATTCTATCTAGATTCCTCCGTCGTCTTCTTTCGTAGTGGCTTTCCTCGATGCTATCGTTGCTCTAGATGAATAAAGTATTGTCGAACACCGAAGCCAGAGTGTAATCCATATGCCGAATCCAATAATCAACTCCAAAACAGTGGACAATCAAATGTGAACCACTCTTTTCGATCGCTAAGGGCACTGTTAAGGTTGCTCACTCGCTCCACTGCAGCTGTCGGACTATGTCCACATCACCGCAGGAGTCTTGCATGGACAATCACGCTGTTTGTTTGTTTTTTCTTTTTTTTCCGCTTCCGTTTGTGTCTTTCATAATATGGTTCTTGTGTTGTTTTTCTTCCAAATGCCATCTGTTTCAACACCGTGCCGCCCCACCGTGTTGCCTCATGTTGCTGGTGAGGTCCACATGGTGGTTGCTGCACAATTATCCTAGACTGTCTGGTCGTGGCTGGTTACACCGTACGCGTGTGCTGCCTTGGCCGTAGTACTGCCGGTTCAAGCCGTCTCGTCATAATCGCTGTTCCTATGCACGGCTCTGCCGTGCTGCCGGGCTCGTGGTGCTAGTTGCATAATAAACTGTGGTTCTGTTACATCGCACGAATATGTTTTGCTGGTATACGAAAAAAAGTAAAAACGGATCGACGACCGAAATAAAAAAAATGCAAAAGGGCAGAACAGAACGGACGCAACACGTATAAGAATGTAAAAACAAAACAACTAAAGTAATTTTACAAAATTACTAACCAACTAGAGTCTACATCATCAAACTACGTAAATATTACCTAAGTATCAAAATACCTAAAGTATATACTAATTTTTGGATCTAAATCAGTAAAAAGTTGAGCATACAAAAAAGGGGGGAAAAAAAGGTGTTCTGACGTTAGGAGAGGACCTATCGGCTCCAGTAACGCTCACTTACCAGACATGAGCAATACATATGCCGATTGGAGCCTATCGGCTTCTGGTTTGCCGATTAGTATCCTATCGGCTGCTGGTTAGCCGACTAGTGCCCTGTCGGCTCCTGAGTTGCCGACTGGATTCCAAACGTACAGTTTCACTATTACGGCTTCTAGCTCTACAATTAAATATTAAAATAATATTATTTTAGCAAAAATTCATGCACTGGATTCTTTATTTTATGTGGGCCCCACATGTTCTCTGCTTGCAGATTGGTCCGATCGACCTCGGCCTCAGTAGCTTGCACTCTCGCCAAGCTGCTTGGAGCATGCCTTGCCTTCGTCCGATGAAGACGACGGAGACAAGCCTGAGCGGCAGCGGCCGGCGCGACCTCGGCGCCAAGTGTTGGAGCCGATCTCCGGCGAGGAGAGTCGGTGACGGCGCGGCTCCGGCAGGTGGTGACCGCGGCGACTAACAACGAACGCGAGAGAGAGAGAGAGAAAACGCGAGCGCATAGCGAGAGATCGCGATATTCACCGTGAATCTGGCGCAGCCTTTTTCGATGCATTGCTCATACCTTTTCATGGCCTTCGATCCGCATTCCCCGCCATGACGCACAGCTGCACGGTGCACCACTTTCTTGGATGCCCGCACGACATGCACGGCATGAACGCCACGGCGGGAGCTGGCCTTAGGACGCGGGTCACGGCGCGCTGGCGTGTGCAATCTCCCGTCATGCCCGCGATTCTACGCTGTTACATAAACATGTTTGACCTGTAACAAAATAGCTAATGCAACTACATGCTGACACAATTGTTTGACACGATTACAATATGAAACATGCAACATTTCACCCCCTTAATCTTGTCAAACTCTGATTATCCCCAGCTGCTTCCTCATCTCAATGAACCTGATTCTCCCGAGAGGTTTTGTCAAGATGTCTGCCAGCTGTTCATCAGTGCTTACATGCTCAACATCAACCACACCATTTGCTACACACTCCCTGATGTAGTGATAGCGAGTGTCTATATGCTTGGTTCTCTCATGGTATACAGGATTCTTGCAAAGCTCTTGAGCAGATCTGCTATCAATGTAAAGTCTGAACTTTTTCACTTCAGTTTCAGTTAGATCAGCTAGTAAACTGCTTAGCCATACTCCCTGACAAGCACCAGTTGCTGCAGCAATGTACTCGGATTCACATGATGATAAAGACACCACCCTTTGTTTCTATGAACTCCAAGTAACCAAGTTTTCTCCCATAAAGAAGACTACACCGGTTGTGCTTTTTCTCTTCTCTATGTCACCTGCATGGTCACTGTCAGTGTACCCAAATAGCTCTGCATGCTTCCCCTTGACAAATTTGCAGCCAAATTCAGTTGTCCCTGCAACATATCTGATAATCCTCTTGATGGCAGTCCAATGTTCAGAGTTAGGTGTCTCCATAAACCCGCTGACCATCCCCACAGAAAAGGCTAAATCTGGTCTAGAGTTCACCAGATATCTGAGGCTCCCAACAATGCTTCTGTATTTTGTTGCATTGACCACTAACTCAGGCTTGCCCGGCAGCAGCTTTACATGCTGCTCCATTGGTGTGTCAACTGGGTTGCACCCTTTCATACTTGAGATTTCAACAATCTTTTGAGCATATGCACTCTGGCAAATAGTGATATGTCCTGGCTCTTGCTTTACTTCTATGCTCAAATAGTAACTAAGCAAGCCAAGGTCACTCATGTTGAAACTTTTACTCATCTGCTGTTTGAATGTAGTAATACCACTGCTATCTGGCCCACATATGATTAAATCATCCACATACACCCCAACTAGGAGTAGTGAACTACCAGATCCCCTCCTATACACAGCATGTTCTTCAGTGCTCCTGACAAAACTCAACTTGTACAGCTCCTGATCTAATCTGGCATTCCATGCCCTTGGGGCCTGTTTTAGTCCATACAATGCTTTCTTGAGTCTCAAAACTTTCCCAGGTGACTTTGGATTAGAGAACCCAGGTGGCTGGTGCACATAGACTTCTTCCTGCAAATCACCATTCAAGAAGGCAGACTTAACATCCATGTGATGAACTTCCCATTCTCCTTGTGCTGCTAGAGCCAGTAATATTCTCACTGTCTCCAACCTTGCAACAGGTGCAAAGACTTCATCATAGTCCACCCCCTGAATCTGTGCATAGCCCTTAGCTACCAATCTAGCCTTGTGTTTTACTACATTGCCAGCTGGATCTCTCTTCACTTTGAACACCCATTTAAGCCCTATGGCCTTGTGATCTCTTGGCAAATCTGAGAATTCCCAAGTTTTGTTCTGAGTGATGGACTCCATTTCGGCTTGCATTGCCCTTTTCCAGCACAGTTCATCAAGAGCCTGCTCCACACTAAGTGGTTCATCAGCTGCTAACATGCATACTCCACTATATTCAAAATCTTGCACCTCTTCGGTTGAGTCAAACAGTCATCGTTGTTACGAATCTGGTGGTCCGAACCTTGACTTTGTCAAGTGAATCTGTGGTGTTGCCCACCCAAAGTTTGGTGCTGCACTGGAGTTTGGAGTGATTGGAGAATTCGGTGCTGCTTCTTCTGGACCCACAACACCCCCTTGATCAGCTGGTCCATGCCCAACTGCATCTGGTTCAGGAAGCACTGCATTTTCAGTGTCATTTCCCATTGTCGGATTTGTGTCAGTTTCCTTATAATGCACAACGAAAGTTTCTGAAGGCTGTTGAACTGTACTGCTCTGTGCATTGGTCCAATCCCAAGGCTTGTTTTCTTCAAAAATGACATCCCTGCTCACAACCAATTTGCTAGTAGCAGGGTTAAAGAATCTGTAGCCTTTTGTTCCTGTTTCATACCCAATAAAGATCATTTTGCTTGATCTATCAGAGAGCTTGTTCTGACCAGGACCAACCACCTTTACATGAGCCAAACATCCAAAGATTTTCATATGACTGACTCTAGGTTTCTTGCCATGCCAAGCTTCAAATGGGGTTCTACTATCTAGTGCCTTTGTAGGTGATCTGTTCAGCACATAGACTGCAGTGCAGACTGCTTCTCCCCAAAATTTAGGTGGAACCTTCATTGATTTCAGCATACACCTTGCCATCTCAATCACTGTCTGATTTCTTCTTTCAACTACTCCATTTTGCTGGGGGGAATAGGGAGTAGTGGTGTAGTGCTTGATTCCACTCTCATTGCAAAAGATTGAAAACATATTTGAGGTGAATTCCCTCTCTCTCTCTGTTCTCATGGCCTTCAACTTGTCACGGACTCGAGTTCAGCCTTGACCTTGATTCTTTTGAAGTAATCCAAAGCACGATCTTTTGTTTTGAGCATTTCAATCCACATATACCTACTATGATCATCTACCACCAGTAGGAAATAGGATGCACCTCCCAAGGTTTTAGGAGTAATATGCCCACATAAGTCTGCATGAACAAGTTCCAAGACTTTTTACGCTCTAAAACTTGACACCGATGGAAAAGGCTTTTACGTGTTGTTTGCCAAAGACACACCCATCACACACTTGCTCAATTCTTTTTTGACTCTTTGGCATACCATCTACCATGTTCTTGCCACTCAAATCATGCAAAGCTCTGAAATTCAAATGGCCAAACCTAGCATGCCATTGCCAAGCCAAGTTATCTGAATTTGCTAGCAGACATACAGGTGACACTAACCCAAGTTTCACAGTGTACAACCTATTAGCAGTTCTTGGAGCAGCAATCAACAGAGAGCGTTCTTGATCAAAACACACACGTTTTCCATCCTCTAACGTGACTTTGAAACCTTTTCTTCCAATTGACCCCAGACTTACTATGTTACTTTTCAGTTTAGGAATGTAGTAGACGTGGGTCAATACCTTGTGCTGTTGATGACGAGCTCTCATCACCACTGAGCCGACGCCATGAATCTCAACGTGAGACCCGTCGCCAAAACGCACCGTGCCCCGGACTCCCTCGTCCAGCTGTGTTAGAGCTGACCTGGTGCCAGTCATGTGGTTGCCGGCACCAGTGTCTAGCACCCACAAGCCGTCCGGAACGTCCGCCGGCACCACGTTCTCCGCCAGGTGCATGATCTGCGTCGTTCTGCCCGCCACCGCGACGTCGCACGTCGCCAACATGAGAGCCGGATCACCGCCGTCCACGGCGACGTTCGCCTCCGCGTTCTTCGGCTCTTTCTTCTCCTTCTTCGGGCGCTTGCAGTCTTGTGCCCAATGACCATATATCCCGCAGTTACGGCAGCGCCCCTTCCGTCTGGGCGTGCCCTCGGATGTCAATTTGACCAGAGCCGAGGCACGGCCATCTGAGCGCGCCACCGCCTTGCCCTTTGACTGGCCGCCACTAGACCCGCCGCCGCCGCCATCTTTCGGCCCCGAATGGAACCGATGTTTGTGCTTCTCCATCCACTCCTCCTCGGCCATCAGGAGTCGTCCCGTCTTGTCGATGATGTGCTCGACCTTGACGTCGAGCCGGTCCTCCGCCGCACGCAGGCGCCCCACGAGCTCCTCCACCTTCATGGTTTTAATGTCGCAGAACATCTCGATCGACACGACCACCGGCGTGAAACGTGAAGGCACCACGCGCAAGAACTTCTTGACGACGCAGGCGTCCTCCACCGTTTCACCCAGCGTGCGGAGGTTGGCAACAAGATTGGTGATGCGCATGCCGAATTGATCAATGGTCTCGCCATCTCTGAAGGCGATGTTCTCGAACTCCTGGAGCAGCTTTTGGGCGTTCACCTCCTTCACCCGATCTGCGCCAAGGTGCATGGTTTGCACCGCCTCCCATGCCTCCTTCACCGTCTTGTGGTTGCCGAGCATCTGCCACATCTCCTTCGGCACCGAGCGCAGGAGCGCGCTCATGGCTTGGCGATCTTGCGACCTCTTGACATTGGTGCCCGGATCAATCACATGCCAGATCTCCAACGCCTCCAGATTGCACTGGACGAGCATCGCCCACTCCGCATAGTTCGCCTGGTCCAGCATCGGCCAGACCAGCGAGCTCTCACGCACGCCATGGTTGCCACTTCCCGACGCCCCGTTGTCGCCCATCTTCTTCTCCGTCGATGTACGTCGAGGAATCACCCGCTTCTTCTTCGCCGGTTCACGCGGTGGGCTCACCGAGCCACCGTAGAACATCAACCGGGCTCTGATGCCAAAGTGTTGGAGCCGATCTCTGGCGAGGAGAGTCGGTGACGGCGTGGCTCCGGCAGGTGGTCAGGCCACGAAGCGGAGCTCAGGCACCTGAAGATGACCGGTGACGACCCAGGAGGCCAGGACGCGCGCGGCCCCTGAGCCCGTGGCGGCATGGCTCCGCGTCGCCGAGCGCCGCATCTCCAGCAGGATCGTCTTCACCCACCAGGCGCCCGGGACAGGGAGAGACGCCGACGCCGACGGCGAGGGGAGATCCGGACCGCGGCGTCGAGGCCGCGGAGCAGGACGTCGTCGAGGAGCGCGCGCTGAGCCGGTCCGCGCCGGGGCCGTCCTCCGAGGCCTTGGCGGCGAGCTGGCCGCTGGCGCCGCCGCACAAGCTGGGCGGCTCCATCGGACGAAAGCGGGGGGAAGCCGCGAAACTGAACTGAGGTTGGGGAAAAGTTTGGCGCAGCTACCGAGGCAGAGACCAAAATACCAGTATCGTACTCGTATTTCATACGGAAATACCCGCCATTTGTTTTTTTTATGTCACAAACTCACAAATCTACTTTTAGGATACCAGCGAGTTTTGGAAATTACCGCTCAAACAAGAATTTTGAGTGTCCCAAGTCCCAACAGGCAACAACACGGCATATCATCGAAAGAATCAAAGTGCGTTTTACCGTCCAAAGCGTCGTCCACCGTATGATTATGCTTCACAAGTAAGCCAATGACTTGTTTGTTTTATAGTAGAGCCATTTAAAAATGAATTTTGGCTTTTGACTCTTGAAATGTACTCCCTCCGTACTCAAAAATAAAGTCGTTTTGGAGAAGACTTGGATCAAACATTCGGAATATAAATCATGAATAATTTTTAATTTGTTGAGTTTGGAAATGTGAAAACCATATGTATAGATTTATCTTGAAAAATACTTTCAAAAAAATTACATATATCACTTTTTGATAAATATCTTTATAAAAATAGTAGAGCCGTGCCCCACTAGGAGAGGTCCGCCCACGCTGAATAGACGAGAACCGGTGGCGCGGAGGCCTATGCGACAGTGGGAGGCAGCGCACCGGGCAAGGCATGCACGGAGGCAGGGCCCGCACCGGCGAAGAGCCGAGCCTAGACCGACCGGGAGGCCAAGGCTGTCGCGCTAGGGAAACGTCGAGCCGGGAGGGCCAGCTGCGCCAGACACGAGAGAGGTGGCGTTGACGACAGCAGGAGGCTGCGGCGGGCGGGGAGGAAGATCCGTCGCATCGGGTAGGGCGTGTCACCGCGCTAAGGCAGGGACGCTGGCGGGGCGGGCAGGTCGCGAGCTCGCACGAAGAGGAAACAGGCGAAGGAAAAATTTGCCTACTCCAGTAGGGAGGCAACAGGAATGAGTTGTGAGAGGGGGACAGTACGAGGCCAACAAATTTGAGAGCCCAACAGGATTGGGTTGTGGAAGAGGAAGTTGGAGCAGAATTTTTAGCCTCCACTATCCAAATTAGGAATAGGAGGTCATTTAGGTAGTGTTACTGGAGACGCCCTAACTAAACCATTCTTCATGCTATTGCTATCAAGTAACTCCTCAATGACGCCGCCGCCGCCTATCGGACCAGCGTGCTGTCCAGCCGCTGGCACTGCCTCTGGCTGCTCCTCCCGGAGCTCCGGTTCCCTCTCTGCTCCGAGCCCCGCCTCGTCGCCGCAGCGCTAGCTGCTCACGAGGCGGCGCTCCGCTACCTCAGCGTCGGGACACTGGACGCCGACACCGAGTCCTTGGCGGCCTGGCTCCTCGCCGTGGCGCGCCGCCACACCAGCCACCTCAGCTTCACGAACCACGCGCCGGGGAGAGACATCGACGACGACGACGGCGGCGGCGGCGGTGAGGAAAGGGGCTCCCTTGAGCTGCCCTGGCTGGCGAGCGCCACCAGCGTGACCCTCGACCTTGGGTGCGGCCTGGGCCTCGCGGTCGTGCCCGTCGGCATCTACGCTCGGCTCACCGACATCTCCCTGACCCGCGTCCTGTTCCGCGGCCCATGCGCGCTCAGCGACACCGTCTCTTCCCCGCGGTGCTCCTGCCTGGTGAAACTCACGGTCCGCGGCGCCCGGGGCCTGGACAACCTCACGATCCGTTCGGATTCTCTCCGGGAGATGACGCTGGACAAGGTGCGCGACCTGGAACAGCTTGGCGTGGCTTCACCGGCGCTTGAGTACCTGAGCGTGTTTGGCTGCGCTTCATTTTTTATTGGGTTCAGCCGGTCGCCGACATCTCAGCTATGTTTATTGATGACTTTACCTGGGCACATATTTGAGAGCTGGACGCTGACATCCATACTAGTTGGATCAATAAACATTTCACATAATTTCCTAATCAAGACAGATCCGACAGAATTAAGAAATTGCCATGAACTACACTATTTATGATAGTTTATATTTAGAAAACAGATTAGCTTTGCTCTGTAATTCAGAGAAGTGCCCTAATGAAAAAAAAAAGAATGGATATGTCATTGGACTTGTCCAATATAGGGTGTATACACAAATGTATCGCTGATGATCGTTTTTGAGAAATTCAGCCATGGTATATTCCAGTCTTTTGCTTTGCTCTTGTCCCAGCAACATTTCTTAGCACTCTCAATCTTCACTCTAACTCTCTATTTCCAAACTGATATATGATCTCCTTTTTTCTATGGTGACTTCCTATGGATGCACAGAATATTGATGACACAGAATACTTGATGGAAGACATGACAATTCTCCCAGACATTATGACTTTGGATGTGAGAGTAATCGCAAACGAACATGCCTTTGGAGCCAGCTTATTCCATGTTCTCAGGCTGCTTTCTGGTATCAAAAAGCTGACCCTGGACCTTTCTCCCCCCAGTTTGGAGGTAATTGTTATCCCTTTAATTTATATAATATTCATTTGCATTTCTTGGTTCACCAAGTCCTGATCTGCTAGTGCCCATAGGTGTTGGTTGCATGCTTATAATTTGTGTTGCAGAGTTTCTCTGGTAACTATATGTCTAACTTTGCTCTGTATTGAGTTCTGAATGAATAGTAATGCCGCGTGGGTTGCAAATATGTGTTACTTTTTTATTTTTTGTGACCCTCTTTGAAATAGATGGTAGTGAATTGACTGTTGTTGTAGGGTAGGCATGATCAGCTAGGTGTTAGGAGACACCAACAGCAAGCTTCGTGTACATGATTATTCAGTGTCTCCATATCTCTATTAGATAATTTAGTCCCTAAGGTTAATGGAAAATCTTCTTTAGTTTGTGATGTTGCTAGAGAATTTGTGGAATTTTATAAAACATCATGGCTATAATTTTATTATATCACTTTCACATAGGCTGCTAGCTCAGAATAATTACGTTACTGCAACCTGATTGCTTTAGACTAATGTCTATATATCTAGGACCCCTTTTGTAAATGTTGATGATGTCTTGATAACATATTCATGGCAATCTTGTCCAGTTCAATTCTTTATCAGTTATTAGTATTTACTAAGTCCGTATGAACCCTTGTTTCAGGTACAAGTTGCTTGTCTATCTGGTCGCAAATGTAATGAGCAAGAACACTGGAAAAACTGAGGAGCTCTTGTTGGATCACATCCAAGAAGTAGAGATCACTGGGTTGAGAGGACGTGCTCAACATGAAGTTACAATGTTGAAGCATATATTTTGGTCTCCTCCCTGTCCCCCTTCCCTCGAGCGCCCCCGTCGGGTGACTTGGGGGCGACCTTGCCTATGCCCTAGGCCCCTGTATCTACGCCTCCCCTTCGGCCACCGTCGCCGCCCTCTGGCGTGCGGCGGCGGCGGCCCTGAAAAAAGGGAGCTCGGCTGCAGCTCCTCCCCCTTCCTAACCCTCTCTTCTCCACCCCCCACCACCACCAATCATCACTATCTCCGGCGTGGACGTGCGGCCGGCCGGGTGGTGTTTTAGGGTCCCGGTAGCCGGATCCGGCGCCTCCACCCTTCCACGCCCGCACAGGAGCCCACCGGCGGTCGGTCTCGTGACCTTCCTCGGCTTCTCCGGTGAACCGGCCAACCGGCGGACCAGATCCCGGCCCCCCTTGGCAGATCTGGCTCCGCCCCCCCTCCCCGATCTGCAGCTTGTGTGGCGGTCATGGGTTCTGGCGCTCGCTCCTCCACTTCGAGGGTGTGGAGGACGCCTTCAGGGACCAGGAGTGTCAGTGCGGGAGCGCTTCGGCTCCGCCTGGTAGCTAGAGGAGCAGCGCGTGCAGTTCTTCCTCAAGTTGCCGATGGAGCTCTCAAGGGTCACGAGCGACACGGCTTACACGCTGAACCCGGAGCTTCGCTAGGCACGCCCTCCAAGCCCTATTCCCTACCGGCGCACGACGTCCAGACCCGGTGGCCGATGGGTTGCATGCCTGTGCTACAGTGGTGTGGAGGCTGCTGCAGCACCTGTGCCAGATCTAGCCTCCTGCCCTAGTCTTCCTCAGGCCGACTGGGGGTCGGATCTAGCCTACCGTGGTTAGTGAGTAGACTTGGGGTGAATACCCCGCCAGGCTTCTTACCTTGGGCCGACGTCGGTGGCGCGCCAGCATCATCACCTTCTTGGAGGCATCATCAAATGCTCAGTTCGTCATTGGGGGTTGCTGGGGCAAGTTTGGGGACGAGAGTCCCTTTTGGGGCGCTTCTCCCAACGAAGTTGGCATCCGCGGATGTCATCCCCTTCTTGAAGGCTTCGTTGATGCACTCCGCTTGCTCCCCCTGCGCCATTCGCCGGAGTCGCTCCATACTGTGTATCTGCGTGTGTTTCATTCTACTCTTCGCATCGGTCTGCCCTGCCTAAGTTGATGTTGCTGCTACAGTCGCTCGGCTATTCACAACGGCTACCTAGTCGCTGTTGATGTGGCCGCTGCAGTCGCTCGGTTCACAGCGGCTACCTGGTCGCTGTTGATGTTGCCACTGCAGTATTGTTGTTGCCGCTGCAGTCATTTGGTTGTTCACAGCTGCCAACACGGCGTCGGTCTCCCATCTCCACTTTTGTGGCAGAGTTTCTACGCCCGCCTCCCACCATCTCCAAAGTTGATCTCCTCAGCCTCAGTAGTTGCACTCACGCCAAACATGCGCCTTGCCTTCGTCCGATGACGATGACAATGTCGGCGTAGACTGGTTGAGCACGCTTCCCGAAGCAACATTGTAAAAAAAGAACTTTTGGAGAAAAAAAAGTTGTCTCTTTAATTAAGAGTCAAAAGTTAAAAACCAACTTTGAAAAAAAAATCTTCATTAAAACAGATAAGTTATTTAACCATACAGCATAAGCAAGCAGTAGGCCGTTGGTAAAGCGCACCTCGATGCTTTCAGTGGTATTGTTTGAAATTAACAAGCCATGTCATTACAACTAAAAAGCCATAAGTCGCCATCCCAAAGCAAGATTACATAACAAAAATCACAACTTTTGAGAAAAGTGGTGTCTCTAGAGTCAAAAGCCAAAACCAACTTTTAAAAAAACCTCGACTACAACAAAGTCATTTAACCATAAAGCATAACTAAACGGTAGACGTGTCACGTGAGGATGATATTAGAGGGAGACTAAGATTCCTTTACTGGTATTGTCTGGAATTGACGAGCCGACAGAGGAGGGAGTACAACAAAAAAACCTAACGGTGGACACTTTGGATGGTAAGAGCGTCTTCAAGAGATTAGCCAAATTGTTTTTCAAAGATAACTTTGGCTATTATTAAAAGAAGAACGTCTCCAACAGACTATGTAAATGACTCTCTAAATTTAGTAGCTCTCCATCCCACCTCATTCGCTCTCTACTTTTAGATAGCCTACCTCACTAGCCATCCAGCCTCTTAGTTTTATAGAATCTGTTGGATACTTTTGTCGAATATATTTTAGAGAGTAGCTAAATCAGTAAATTTGGCTAGTCTTTTGGCTAATCTCTTCGAGACGCTCACTAAGAGATTATTGTTGATATTTCCAAAACTAGCTAGATTAAAACTAGAGTAGATCGCATAGAAATGGAAAAAGAAATCTAAATTGTCGGACATTTTGGATGCTATCGGATGCACCGGAGCTTTTTTTTAAATAATATTTTTTTAATAAATAATAGCAGATCTGGGTGTTATTTTCATAAAATTGCAAAACTGGTATCCTGTCGGCTTTCTAGTAGCCAATAGGGAACCTATCGGCCAGTCAATTGCCGGCAGCCTACATGGCAGGCAAAAATCACAGTGCAGGGTCCTATTGGCAATCAGGTAGCCGACTGGAGAGCTATCGGCAATCTGCGAGCCGATATCTGCACTCGTCAGTTGGCCAGCCGATGGGTCTATCGGGCATTGGGAGACAGACGGCACCCACAACCTGCAAGCTACGTCCCTTTTAGAATTTGTTTTATTGATCATGTTTCTTTACTATTTAGATTTTAATATTTCTTTCAACCTACCCAGAACAAAACATCTAAAGACCTCAAAAGATATTGTAAATTTCTAAGTAGATGCTAAAAATCAAGCACAACCTATTTTACTTGCGTCTCGCATCATTTTTTAAGGTAATAAGGAATTATATTAAAACTCAACATAGTACATCCCAAAATTAAACTAAGAAAAAATCAAAAATAAACAAGGTACAATATTCTATCTAGATTCCTCCGTCGTCTTCTTTCGTAGTGGCTTTCCTCGATGCTATCGTTGCTCTAGATGAATAAAGTATTGTCGAACACCGAAGCCAGAGTGTAATCCATATGCCGAATCCAATAATCAACTCAAAAACAGTGGACAATCAAATGTGAACCACTCTTTTCGATCGCTAAGGGCACCGTTAAGGTTGCTCACTTGCTCCACTACGACTGTCGGACTATGTCCACATCACCGCATGAGTCTTGCATGGACAATCACGCTGTTTCTTTGTTTTTTTCTTTTTTTTCCGCTTCTGTTTGTGTCTTTCGTAATATGGTTCTTGTGTTGTTTTTCTTCCAAATGCCATCTGTTTCAACACCGTGCCGCCCCACCATGTTGCCTCATGTTGCTGATGAGGTCCACATGGTGGTTGCTGCACAATTATCCTAGACTGTCTGGTCGTGGCTGGTGACACCGTACGCGTGTGCTACCTTGGCCGTAGTACTGCCGGTTCAAGCCGTCTTGTCATAATCGCTATTCCTGTGCACGGCTCTGCCGTGCTGTCGGGCTCGTGCTGCTAGTTGCATAATAAACTGTGGTTCTGTTACATCGCACGAACATGTTTTGCTGGTATACAAAAAAAGTAAAAACGGATGGACGACCGAAATAAAAAAATGCAAAAGGGCAGGACAGAACGGACGCAACACGTATAAGAATGTAAAAACAAAACAACTAAAGTAATTTAGCAAAATTACTAACTAACTAGAGTCTACATCATCTAACTACGTAAATATTACCTAAGTATCAAAATACCTAAAGTATATACTAATTTTTTTATCTAAATCAGTAAAAAGCTGAACATACAAAAAAAAAGGAACAAAAAAGGTGTTCTGACGTTAGGAGAGGACCTATCGGCTCCAGTAACGCTCACATACCAGACATCAGCAATACATATGCCGATTAGTATCCTATCGGCTTCTGGTTAGCCGACTTGTGCCCTGTTGGCTTCTGGTTTGCCGATTAGTATCCTATCGGCTGCTGGTTAGCCGACTAGTGCCCTGTCGGCTCCTGAGTTGCCGACTGGATTCCGAACGTACAGTTTCACTATTACGGCTTCTAGCTCTACAATTAAATATTAAAATAATATTATTTTAGCAAAAATTCATGCACTGGATTCTTTATTTTATGTGGGCCCCACATGTTCCTCTGCTTTGCAGTTGGTCCAGTCAGCCTCAGCCTCAGCAGTTGCACTCTCGCCAAGCTGCTTGGAGCATGCCTTGCCTTCGTCCGATGAAGACGACGGAGACAAGCCTGAGCGGCAGCGGCCGGCGCGACCTCGGCGCCAAGCCCTCCGACGACGACGAAGCCTGCGTGGACTGTCTGAGCGCGCTCCCCAACAGCGTCCTGCTCAGCATCCTCGCGGGTCTCGGCGACGCCGCCGCCGCTGGTCGGACCAACGTGCCCTCCAGGCTCCAGCAGCTGACGCTGCTCCCGGACCTCCGCGTCGTCCCTCTCTCCCCCGATCCCGGTCTCATCGCGTCAGCGCTGGCCGGCCACGAAGCGGAGCTCAGGCACCTGAAGATGACCGGTGACGACCCAGGAGGCCAGGACGCGCGCGGCCCCCGAGCCCGTGGTGGTTATTGTTCAAGGGTTTTAAAATTTGACTGTTGACCCCGAGCCCGTGGTGGCATGCGGGAGCAATTGAAGCAGGTGGTTCGTGAAGCTGGGCGGCTCCATCGGACGAAAGCGGGGGAAGCCGCGAAACTGAACTGAGGTTGGGGAAAAGTTTGGCGCAGCTACCGAGGCAGAGACCAAAATACCAGTATCGTACTCGTATTTCATACGGAAATACCCGCCATTTGTTTTTTTTATGTCACAAACTCACAAATCTACTTTTAGGATACCAGCGAGTTTTGGAAATTACCGCTCAAACAAGAATTTTGAGTGTCCCAAGTCCCAACAGGCAACAACACGGCATATCATCGAAAGAATCAAAGTGCGTTTTACCGTCCAAAGCGTCGTCCACCGTATGATTATGCTTCACAAGTAAGCCAATGACTTGTTTGTTTTATAGTAGAGCCATTTAAAAATGAATTTTGGCTTTTGACTCTTGAAATGTACTCCCTCCGTACTCAAAAATAAAGTCGTTTTGGACAAGACTTGAATCAAACATTCGGAATATAAATCATGAATAATTTTTAATTTGTTGAGTTTGGAAATGTGAAAACCATATGTATAGATTTGTCTTGAAAAATACTTTCACAAAAATTTACATATATCACTTTTTGATAAATATCTTTATAAAAATAGCAGAGCCGCGCCCCGCTACGAGAGGTCCGCCGACGCTGAATAGACGAGAGCCGGTGGCGCGGAGGCCTGTGCGACAGTGGGAGGCAGCGCACCGGGCAAGGCATGCAGGGAGGCAGGGCCCGCACCGGCGAAGAGCCGAGCCTGGAGCGACCGGGAGGCCAGGGCTGTCGCGCTAGGGAAACGTCGAGCCGGGAGGGCCAGCTGCGCCAGACAGGGGAGAGGAGGCGTCGACGACAGCAGGAGGTTGCGGCGGGCGGGGAGGAAGATTCGTAGCGTCGGGTAGGGCGTGTCACCGCGCTAGGGCAGGGACGCTGGCGGGGCGGGCAGGTCACGAGCTTGCACAAAGAGGAAACAGGCGAAGGAAAAATTTGCCTACTCCAGTAGGGAGGCAACAGGAATGAGTTGTGAGAGGGGAACAATAGGAGGCCAACAAATTTGAGAGCCCAACAGGATTGGGTCATGGAAGAGGAAGTTGGAGCAGAATTTTTAGCCTCCACTATCCAAATTAGGAAGAGGAGGTCAGTTAGGTAGTGTTCCTGGAGACGCCCTAACTAAGGCTGTGTTTAGTTCCAAAAACTTTCCCAAAAAGTGCTACAGTAGCCATCACATCGAATCTTACTATACGTGCATAGAGCATTAAATGTAGACGGAAAAAAAACTAATTGCACAGTTTGGTTGGAAATCGCGAGACGAACGTTTTGAGCCTAATTAGTTCATGATTGAACACTAATTGCCAAACAAAAATGAAAGTACTACAGTAGTCAAATTCCCAAAATTCGCGAACTAAACACAGCCTAAACCATTCTTCGTGCTATTGCTATCAAGTGACTCCTTGATGACGCCGCCGCCGCCGCCGCCTGTCGGACCAGCGTGTTGTCCAGCCGCTGGCTCCGCCTCTGGCTGCTCCTCCCGGAGCTCCGGTTCCCTCTCTGCTCCGAGCCCCGCCTCGTCGCCGCAACGCTAGCCACTCATGAGGCGGCGCTCAGCTACCTCAGCGTCGGGACACTGGACGCCGACGCCGAGTCCGTGGCGGCCTGGCTCCCCGCCATGGCGCGCCGCCTCACAGGCCACCTCAGCTTCACGAAGCACGCGCTGGGGAGAGACATCGACGATGACGACGGCGGCGGCGGCGGTGAGGAAAGGGGCTCCCTTGAGCTTCCCTGCCTGGCGAGCGCCACCAGCGTGACCCTCGACCTCGGGTGCGGCCTGGGCCTCGTCGTCGCGCCCGTCGGCGTCTTCGCTCGGCTCACCGACATCTCCCTGACCCGCGTCCTGTTCCGCGGCCCGTGCGCGCTCAGCGACGCCGTCTCGTCCCCGTGGTGCCCCTGCCTGGTCAAACTCACGGTCCACGGCGCCCGGGGCCAGGACAACCTCACGATCTGTTCGGATTCTCTCCGGGAGATGACGCTGGACAAGGTGCGCGACCTGGAACAGCTCGGCCGGGCTTCGCCGGCGCTTGAGTACCTGAGCGTGTTTGGCTGCGCTTCATTTTTGGTTGGGTTCAGCCGGTCGCCGACATCTCAGCGCCTGCGCTGAAGGTGCTCAGGTGGGGGGATCTGTTTGATCCGATCTCTGTCCACCTTGGTACCATGATGCATCAGGAGAGCGTGTGCCCCATCATACTTCTTGCGTATGGATCTCCGGCCATTGCGCCCGATCCCGATCAAGACTGTCTAGGGCTGTTGCGGTGTTTTAAGACCATCCAACATCTCCACCTCACACTAGCCTACCTGCCGGTGAGTTCACTTAGTTATAGCTCCTCTCTTATTTGGAATCATGTTGTCATGGCAAGATTTTTTTTCTCTACTATGTTTATTGACGACTTTACCTGGGCACATATTTGAGAGCTGGACGCTGACATCCATACTAGTTGGATCAATAAACATTTCACATAATTTCCTAATCTAGACAGAACCGACAGAATTAAGAAATTGCCATGAACTACACTATTTATGATAGTTTATATTTAGAAAACAGATTAGCTTTGCTCTGTAATTCAGAGAAGTGCCCTAATGAAAAAAAAAGAATGGATTTGTCATTGGACTTGTCCAATTCAGGGTGTATACACAAATGTATCGCTGATGATCGTTTTTGAGAAATTCAGCCATGGTATATTCCAGTTTTTTGCTTTGCTCCTGTCCCAACAACATTTCTTAGCACTCTCAATCTTCACTCTAACTCTCTATTTCCAAACTGATATATGATCTCCTTTTTTCTATGGTGACTTCCTATGGATGCACAGAATATTGATGACACAGAATACTTGATGGAAGACATGACAATTCTCCCAGACAATATGACTTTGGATGTGAGAGTAATCGCAAACGAACATGCCTTTGGAGCCAGCTTATTCCATGTTCTCAGGCTGTGTTCTGGTATCAAAAAGCTGACCCTGGACCTTTCTCCCCCCAGTTTGGAGGTAATTGTTATCCCTTTAATTTATATAATATTCATTTGCATTTCTTGGTTCACCAAGTCCTCATCTGCTAGTGCCCATAGGTGTTGGTTGCATGCTTATAATTTGTGTTGCAGAGTTTCTCTGGTAACTATATGTCTACACTTTGCTCTGTATTGAGTTCTGAATGAATAGTAATGCCGCGTGGGTTGCAAATATGTGTTACTTTTTTATTTTTTGTGACCCTCTTTGAAATAGATGGTAGTGAATTGACTGTTGTTGTAGGGTAGGCATGATCAGCAAGGTGTTAGGAGACACCAACAGCAAGCTTCGTGTACATGATTATTCAGTGTGTCCATATCTCTATTAGATAATTTAGTCCCTAAGGTTAACAGAAAATCTTCTTTAGTTTGTGATGTTGCTAGAGAATTTGTGGAATTTTATAAAACATCATGGCTATAATTTTATTATATCACTTTCACATAGGCTGCTAGCTCAGAATAATTACGTTACTGCAACCTGATTGCTTTAGACTAATGTCTATATATCTAGGACCCCTTTTGTAAATGTTGATGATGTCTTGATAACATATTCATGGCAATATTGTCCAGTTCAATTCTTTATCAGTTATTAGTATTTACTAAGTCAGTATAAACCCTTGTTTCAGGTACAAGTTGCTTGTCTACCTGGTCGCAAATGTAATGAGCAAGAACACTGGAAAAACTGAGGAACTCTTGTTGGATCACATCCAAGAAGTAGAGATCACTGGGTTGAGAGGATCTCAACATGAAGTTACATTGTTGAAGCATATATTTTGGTCTCCTCCCTGTCCCCATTCCCCCTAGCGCCCCCATCGGGCGACTTGGGGGCGACCCCGCCTGCGCCCTAGGCCCCTGTATCTACGCCGCCCTCTGGCGTGCGGCGGCGGTGGCCCCGAAAAAAGGGAGCTCGGCCGCAGCTCCTCCCCCTTCCTACCCCTCTCTTCTCCACCCCCCACCACTACCAATCGTCACAATCTCCGGCGTGGACGTGCACCGGCCGGGTGGCGCTTTAGGGTCCCGGTAGCCGGATCCGGCGCCTCCACCCTTCCACGCCCGCACAGGAGCCCACCGGCGGTCGGTCTCGTGACCTTCCTCGGCTTCTCCGGTGAGCCGGACGGCCGGCGGACCAAATCCGAGCCCCCAGGCCGGATCGCTACCCGCCGGATCTACAGCTTGTGTGGCGGTCGTGGGTTGTGGCGCTCGCACCTCCGCTTCGAGCGCGTGGAGGGCGCCTTCAAGGACCAGGAGTGTCGGTGCGGGAGCGCTTCTGCTCCGCCTGGCAGCTGGAGGAGCAGCGCGTGCAGTTCTTCCTCAAGTTGCCGATGGAGCTCTCAGAGGTCACGAGCGACACGGCTTACGCGCTGAACCCGGAGCTTCGCTGGGCACGCCCTCCAAGCCCTATTCCCTACCGGCCCACGACGTCCAGACCCGGTGGCCGGCGGGTTGCATGCCTGTGCTGCAGTGGTGTGGAGGATGTTGCAGCACCTGTGCCAGATCTGGCCTCCTCCCCTGGTCTTCCTTAGGCCGACTAGGCGCCGGATCTGGCCTGAAGTGGTCAGTGAGCAGACTTGGGGTGAATACCCCGCCAGGCTTCTTACCTTGGGCCGACGTCGGTGGCGCGCCAGCGTCATCACCTTCTTGGAGGCGTCATCAAATGCTCAGTTCGTCATTGGGGGTTACTGGGGCAAGTTTGGGGACGAAAGTCCCTTTTGGGTGCTTCTCCCAACGAAGTTGGCGTCCGCGGATGTCATCCCCTTCTTGAAGGCTTCATTGATGCACTATGCTTGCTCCCCCCACGCCATTCGTCGGAGTCGCTCCTTACTGTGTATCTGCGTGTGTTTCATTCTACTCTTCGCATTGGTCTACCCTGCCTCAGTTGATGTTGTTGCTGCAGTCGCTCGGCTGTTCATAGCAGCTACCTAGTC